CCGTAGAATTTGAGTATCCTTCTTTATACATACGTTAGGAGTATGATCGATCAAGATATTCAACTTCTTCATGGTAATTTTTGTGTAAGATGTACGACCCAATACGAAGATGCGTCGTTCTTCATTGAAGCAAGGATAAAAATTTCTTTGTTCAAAACGAATACCAAAATAGTAGAAACGTTTTGTCCATGACAAAGCGTATATAGTATATATAGTATAGTATATATAGTATATATAGTATATATGTATATAGAATGATTTTTCGAAAGAGTTATTATAAACATACGTGGAACGATTCAACGAATGACGATCAAGCGTTTTAATCACTTCTTTTTTATTCGTCCTTCTAGTTTCCGTTTTCTAAAATGAAATCTCGCTTGGAACGACGTTATTATACGATTTCACATTATACATCCAAAACAACGTAACATATAAATTAAACTAATAATACCAGTCTCTGCGTATTCAGAAATTTAATAATTTTACGATTTATATTATTATACAAATATTCAAGTTTGAAAAAATATTATTTTCTCCAGGATTTAATTATTATAATTAACCTGATCCTAAAATTTCGTAAACGTATCGTGTACTCTCGCGGAGGATATTCGGAAATATTCACGTAGACTTACGTGTCCTAAGGTCGAAACAGGTTAACAGGCTCGTTCTTGTCCGAAATTTGTCGCTCGAGGAAAGACGATATCCGAGATTCGGTGAACCTTATCCGGCCAATATTATAATCGATTTTTCCACGTTAGACGAGGCGAGATAGAAACGTAGATGCGACGAAGACGGAATGATCTGATTCTATCTGCGTCTTGCTTGAAACTGGACATTTGATAAAAGTATATAGAAAAAAGGCTTGTAATCGAAGCAAGAAGAGAAAATACAAATTATCATTGAATATATGCTATCCATGTTAAAAATCGCGTAGAAATTAATTATTATTATTTGGTTCTAATTCTTTGGACGAAAAAGAAAAAAATTGTACATCGGTAGTCTGGTTACAGGGTACAAGTCTCGTCCCTCCACGTGTTTGTGAAACGAGACGACGAAAGAGAGAGAGAGAGAGAGAGAGAGAGAGAGAGAAAGAGAGAGAGAAATAGAAAGAGGCCCGAGGGTGTGGATCGCCAGGTATGCGGATCACATTCAACACTCGTTGAAAGACTCATTCCTTCATACGCATTTAGATTGTCGCGACTGGTTTATTCTTCGAAACGATGCGGCCAAGGGATAGTTCGCACACTGGCATCGTTCGCTATTTATATCCGCGAGCCTGGCCCGCGTGTCGCCGAAAACTACGTCGAAAACGTGGAAAAGTCACGTTTAAAAGTCACGTCAGTTTCCTGGTGGCGGATGTAATACAAAAATAATAATAATAGCAATAATTACGAAATGACGAAACGTAATGGAATTCGAAATTATTCGTGCACGCGCGAGAAGAAGAGCTTGGACACGTGGAAAACTCTTTCACATTTTTTTTCGAAAACGCCGATCTTTATAGAATATCTCTATGATCTCGATTGATAGAATAGGAAATTTTCATCACGCGTCATAGAATAAAAAATGGCGTCATAGCATGCCAATCGTAGAATAGGACATCTTTATGCGTCAATTACTATAGAATAGGATATTTCTATCATCAATTATCATAGAATACAAAATTTTCAAAATTTTCAAAATTTTCAAATTTGATATGATCGTCAATCGCCATAGAATAAAACGTCTCCACGACATCTCTATGACGCGATCAACCGCCATAGAATAGGACATCTCTATGCGTCAATTACTATAGAATAGGACATTTCTATCATCAATTATCATAGAATAGAAAATTTTCAAAATTTTCAAAATTTTCAAAATTTTCAAAATTTTCAAAATTTTCAAATTTGATGTGATCGTCAATCGCCATAGAATAAAACGTCTCCACGACATCTCTATGACGCGATCAACCGCTATAGAATAGGACATCTCTATGCGTCAATTAATATAGAATAGGATATTTCTATGCGTCAATTATCATAGAATAGAAAATTTCCACGATGTGATCGTACGCGTCAATTCCAATAGAATAAAATATTTCTATGACGCGATCGTACGCGTCAACCGCCATAGAATAAAACGTCTCTATGACGCGATCGTACGCGTCAACCGCCATAGAATAGGACATCTCTATGCGTCAATTACTATAGAATAGGATATTTCTATGCGTCAATTATCATAGAATAGAAAATTTCCACGATGTGATCGTACGCGTCAATTCCAATAGAATAAAATATTTCTATGACGCGATCGTACGCGTCAACCGCCATAGAATAGGACATCTCTATGCGTCAATTACCATGGAATAGGAAATTTCCATTACGTGTCAATCGCTGTAGAATAAAACATATTTATGACGTGATCAATCGTCATAGAATAAAACGTTTTTATGACGCGATCGTACGCGTCAACCGCCGTAGAATAAGAAACGTTTATGATATGATGATGCAATCATCATAGAGTGGAACATCTCTGTGAGTTCAATTATCATAGAATAGAAAATTTCTACGATACGATGGAACCGCCATGGAACAGGAAATCGCGATGGTACGCGATGTACAATAGGAAATACGACTCGTATCGAGTCTCGTATTCGGTCTCGAACGTACAAACGCACGGTTTGTTCTCTTTCTGCTCGGTGTGGTTAAATCCTTTCTTGGGACGATTCGATGGCGGGGCTTTTCAACGACAACGAGGAAATTCGAGGGGAAAATTTTAACACTGTTGATTCAACGCGTAATTACCGCGTAATTCACAAGAGAATCGTGTAGCGACATATTAATTCGGGGGAGAATAATGGCGTAAGAAGGAAAAATGACGCGATATTAGGTTGTCCCAAAAGTTCTATTCGTCTTACTATAGATACCCTTCTAACGTCACAGTTTCGTCTCTCTCTTTCTCTCTCTCTCTCTCTCTCTCTCTCTCTCTCTCTGAAACTTGAAATATTATTTTATTTCTCCAACAAGATGACTCATTTGAAAAATATACCGAGTAATCCCTTAAATATGATTTAAAGAACCGATTCTTTCACGTAGAATCATCGCATTAGTTCTACTCTATTTAAACCATACAATATATATATATATATATAAAATTGTGAAAGAATTATTCAAATTTATCCCATTTTCGAGTAATACGTCTCGATAATAAAAAAAAAATAAAAACTTTCAATATATTTAATATTTCGTATAATACAGATAAATAACTCTCGTCACAAGCCAATAATTCAGCAAAATTGTTCCATCAAAGGGTCAACTCGATAGAGTTAACTCTTTGACGAGATTCGTTTCGTCAAAGAGTATCGTGCCAATTATATACGTACACATCCTCGCACGCGAAGCGCTTTCGAAGAGAGCCCCCCCCTTCCCTTCCCCCGTTTCGCAAGTTTTGACCCGAGTTCTCGTCAAATCCTTCCCTTCCCCCCTCCAAGAAAAATTAAAAACCCCTCAAAAACTTCAATTCCTCGCCCAATTAATCGCCAATTTGGACGAACACGCGCCCATATATATATATTTTCGTCCACGATATTTCGCAAACGTTTCGCGTATCGCGTAATTTTACCTGGCCGAATCCTCCCGGATATAAATAATCCGAGACGGGAGTTGATCGCTTCGAAGGTTGATCGTTCCCAGATCGTTACGAGAGGCGAGAGGCAACCGGCTCTGTGGCTGTGTCGCAGCCGCAACGTGGAAAATTTCGTGCGGGGAATAAGAATCGCGCAAGCTCCCGCCAGGCCGAGCTAACAGGTACACGCGAAATTTCGTTAGCGAGCCGAGGTGAATAGAACGCTCGATCTTCTATGCCTCCCTCTCCCTTCTACGTACGTGTACGTATGCGCGCGCGCGCGCGCGTAAAAAAGCCATGAATAAGCCGCCTCTCCCCCCTTCCAAGAAGACCAAAGACCGCTCTCCTCGCGATCCTCGACTCGTCCTTACACTTTTGTCCAAACCGAAGTGCTTCGCTTTTCTTCCGCCACCTCTGCCTCCCCCTCCTTCTTCCCTCCTTCGAAATCGATACACACAGGTACTCGAGCGCGAGAGCGAGAGAGAGAGAAAAAAAGGTGACCCTCCCCCCTCCCCCTCCGGTAAGGTGAACGAAAGGCGAGGAGGATTCTTCTTCACGAGAGGGGAATGATCGTTAAGGGTCGATCGACGATCGCCCGATATAACGGAGATCCTCCAATATATATATAGATATATATATAGATATATATATCGTTGGATTCTATATATATATATATATATAGAATTTCGAATATGTATATATATATATATACATATTCGAAATTCTTCTCTGAATGAAGAAGAAGGAAGGATAGTTCGGCCACGTATAATAACGGTGTCCTGTGTTTCGGTGGAAAAATGTCGGTCCCCGCTCTGTCTATCGGCGGCCACCGGTACACCGGCACACCGGGGAAGCACCGGCATCGGGAGGACCGGGTCGTCCACCACCGTCACCACCGCCACCGCCACCACCGCCGCCGCCGCTAGCTGGATCACCGCCACCAGGACCGGCAACACGACCACCTTTGGAGCAGCAGCACCACCGGCGCTGCCGCCACCGCGTTATTGATTTGACAGGAATGACGGGAAATGGCGCAGGAATCGATAAGAGGTGGTCCCAAGCCGTGGTGGTGGGCTCTGCGCGGGTGTACGGCGCGGGTGAACGAGAAACGGGCGTAGAGGGAGGGAGAGAGAAAGAGAGAGAGAAGGAGAAGGAGAAAGAGAGGAGAGAGAGAGAGAGAGAGAGAGAGAGAGAGAGAGAGAGAGAGAGAGAGAGAGAGAGAGAGAAAGGAAGAGAGGGAGGGAGAGAGGTGGTGGTAGGAGGAGAGGGGTTACCGTGGAAAGCTCCTCTTCTCTCCGGGGTGGGGTGCAGGGTGGGGGTGGAGCAGAGAATATTTTCATACTCCAGACTCCCGGCGTAGGTAGAAGATGGCAGCCGAGGCGTGATTCGAGACCGGGACCTTCACTCTCTGTGGCCGCGCGCGAGTAGGGGGTATCCTTCGTCGTACGGAGACCAGATCGCGGAAGTAGTGCGCTAGCGTGGTGCATTATCGCGTGTCGTCCAGTGTACCAGGAGATTCGCGATGTTCTAGGAGGACCCGTCGTTTCTATACCCGTCGGTGCCGGTTTGTCCTCCTATCGCCCGCGAGCCTTCTCTCTCTTTCTTTCTTTCTTTCTTTCTTTCTTTCGTTTTCTCTCCGCTGCTTCTCTCTCTCTCTCTCTCTCTCGCATCCCTCTAACCTTTAAACCATTAAAATTCTTTCCGATCCTCGATCGGAAATTTCCGAAACGAATTCGACGGATCTGTCTCTCTCTTTCTCTTACCTTTCTTTCGTTTATTCTTTCTCTCTCTCTCTTTCGTCGATTCTTCTCGCGAATTCCATTCTTCCATTCCATTCTCTTTTGTTCAGTTGTGCGCCTCCCCCGTGTGATACACACATACGTACACACACGACACACGACATCCTCTCTTTCTCTCTCTCTCTCTCTCTCTCTCGGCTTTTCGCTTTTTTTTCTCCACCTCGCACTCTCCTCGCCCAACGAAACCCCGCGTAACCCCAAGTCGGTCAGTCGTGTTACTCATGATCCAACCGGCGACCAGGTAGTATCGCTGATTATGCGCGACATGAGCACCACCGCCATCGTAGTGTTTTACGAGCGTCATGTAAAATGGAATTAAACAATGTTGTTAAGACGTAAACATGTTTTGGCTACACTGTGGACTCTTTGTTCTCGTGATTGCCGTACCTGGATTTATTAGCAGCGCCGACAGCACGTCCAAGCGAGGTAACGCCTGCCTGCCTGCCTGCCTGCCTGCCTGTCTATTTGTCTACCTGCTTGCTCGCTTTTACCTCTCTCTCTATCCATCTATCTATCTATCTATCTCTCTGTGTGTTTATCCATCCCATTTCCACCCTCTCTCTCTGCCTTGCCTGTCTATTTACCTGCCACGCAAGGTACTTCCCCCTCGTCCCCCTTTGTCTCGTGCTCGTTGATCGAACCACACAGTTTCGATCGTTTATACGTAAATTGCACATATCGAAAATCGGCGAGGAGGATTGGTTGAAAGCGTGGCCATGCGTCCTGGGAATCCGGATGGCCTCTTCTCACCTCTCCTCCTCCTCCTCTTCCTTCCTTCCTTGATTTATACCCGTTGGCACGCGATCCTGTAATTTTCCTAGGCCGTGGTTACGCGCTTTTGTGTGTATATATACATATATATACATATATGTTTGTATATATATCTTTCTCTTTCCCTCGTTCGCCTTTTCGTCTCGTCTCCTTCGCTCGTAAATTCCGCTTGGACGCTTGGCCGTTAATCGCGCTCGCTCGCAGCCTCTGGCATGGCGTGTTCCGGGTTATGGTACGATACGATACACGTACGATTGCCTGTTGCAGCCCTTTTGCCTCCAAGAATTTTCGTCGAGACTCGAGCCCAGTCGATCGAGTTGAAAAGAAAATTTGATTTTGGAGAAAATCAATTGTTCTAAGCTCTTTCGTATCTCTTTTCTTTTTCTTTTCATCTCTTTTGTTTTTTCGCTGTCGATGTGTGGAGACGAGAACGGCGTGCGTTCGAGCCATTTCCCTCCAACGCGCGTGATGCATGACACGAATTTCGGTGCGAATTTTCGGATAGAACGATTCAGAGTGTACGTCGATTTTTCTCTTTCTCTTCTTTCGCGAATTTCCTTTCTTTATCTTTTTTCTTTTTTCGAAGAAAATTTCGATCACGATATATTCAATATTTTTTGAACGAATCTAAGATATAAGGATAGAAAGATTCTTCTCGAAACGGATTTTCTTTTTTCTACTTTTTCCAAAGAACTTCTGGCATTTTCTTCCTTCTCTTTCTCTCGAAATTTCATCAGCAATTAAGTGTAGCCAGTGTAGTGAAATCAGGATTACATTACTTCCCCGTTTTTCTCGACTGAAGTTTGAACGAACACTCGAAGAGTCTCGAAAAAGAGAAACAAAGAGAGAAAGGGGAGGGACGATTTCACGAGGGAATGGAAAACGCGTGTGTGAATAGAAGACACGTTTGACACACGAGCAAAATGCGGCGCGTTCGCGCCGCGTTCGACCGTCGAAAACCGTAGAGGACAAGCGTGTTTTCCTTTTTTAAGGGACGCCGGTTACGGACGCCCGTTCATGTTACACGCAGAGACGCGTTATCGCTACGTTATCGCCGTTTCGATGTTATCGATTTTGGCCGATGATGCATTGGGGGGAAGCGGTTCACGCGACGAGAAGCGTGTGCGTGCACGCTCCTCGTCGATAAATAAATAAATAAATAAATAAATAAATAACGCGGATTTTCGAGATGGAAAATCGAGCGATACCGGGCTCGAAATCGAAACGTTTCCTCCTACGACGGGAATATAACGGTATTTTCGTATCTGAAAATAGAATCTCGCATCGCTTGATTCACATCGTGACGTTTGCCTATGCGCGCGAGTGTATGTGTGTGTATGTGTATCCCTTTCGATGTATCGGTAACGGAGAGGAGAGCCGGTTGGTCGGTATAGAATTTGGAACGAGATAATGTATCGTATTTTAGAGATAATTTGTCCCTTGGTTTTCTTTTATTTTTCATATTCCAAGGGAGAGGTTGGAATTTGAATGAAATTTTTCAGGTTTAGAATAAGGGAAAATTTGATAATTGAGATTTAAACAGATCTCTCGTGCTTGATTTGTGTGATGTATACATGTTCCTTTTTTTTGGGAGGAGGAGTTTAAAGGAGTAGGCTTGCAAAATAGGAGATAATGTACGTATTTTAATGATAATTGAAATTTAAACGGATCTCTTGTGCTTGATTTATACACGTTTTTTGATATTTTAAAAAAAGAGAATTTGGTTAGAATTTGAATGAAATTTTGTAGCTTTATAAGAGAATGGAGAAAAATAATACATATTTCATACACGTTTCTTTTTTGATACTCTTAAGGAGGAGGATTTGGTTAGAATTTGGATGAAATAGGAGATAATATATGTATCTTATACACGTTTCTTTCTTTATTCAAGAAGAAGAAGATTTGACTAGAATTTGGATGAAATTTTATAGCATTATAGGAGATTGGAAGGAGATAATGTACATATTTTATACACGTTTCTTTTTTGATACTCTTAAGGAGGAGGATTTAGTTAGAATTTGGATGAAATTTTGTAAGTTTCTAAAAGGAGATAATGTATGTATTTTATACACGTTTCTTTCTTTATTCAAGAAGAAGAAGATTTGGTTAGAATTTGGATGAAATTTTGTAAGTTTCTAGAAAGAGATAATGTAAAAGTACACGTTTCTTTCTTTATTCAAGAAGAAGAAGATTTGATTAGAATTTGGATGAAATTTTATAGCATTATAGGAGATTGGAAGGAGATAATGTACGTATTTTATACACGTTTCTTTTTTGATACTCTTAAGTAGGAGGATTTGGTTAGAATTTGGATGAAATTTTGTAAGTTTCTAGAAAGAGATAATATATGTATCTTATACACGTTTCTTTCTTTATTCAAGAAGAAGAAGATTTGATTAGAATTTGGATGAAATTTTGTAGCTTTATAGGAGAATGGAGAAAGATAATATACGTATTTTATACACGTTTCTTTTTTGATACTCTTAAGGAGGAGGATTTGGTTAGAATTTGGATGAAATTTTGTAAGTTTATAGAAGGAGATAATATATGTATCTTATACACGTTTCTTTCTTTATTCAAGAAGAAGAAGATTTGGTTAGAATTTGGATGAAATTTTGTAGCTTTATAGGAGAATGGAGAAAGATAATATACATATTTCATACACACATATTTTGATAAGAAGATACACATATTTGTAAAGAAGAAGGGTTTGGATGAAATTTTGTAAATTTGTAAGAGATTGGAAGGAGATAACATACATATTTTATATACGTCTTTTTTTTTTTTGATTGAAGGAGAAGAAGATTTGGTTAGAATTTGGATGAAATTTTGTTTAATGATGATAAGTTTAATGATTGGAAATAATGATAATTGAAGTTCAACGTGAAAGTAGATCTCTCGTGCTTTCATTTATATTTTAAAGTATGTATATCTTTGATTCTAAGAAGTGTTTGGTTATAAAGTTTGAAATGGAATTTTATAGATAGTAATCTCTGACGAGGAAGGGTTTGGTTAAACTTCGAGCGGAATTTTATAGGTTCGAAGATCGGAAGGAAATATAATTTACCTTTTTTCGAAGATGTGATAATTGAATAATTGAAGCTCAATCTGAGAATAGATCTCTCCTGATTCACGTATATTCGTGAATAATCTTTGATTCTCTGACGAGGAAGAATTTAAACTTCTAATGAAATTTTATTTGGAAATTATACAATAATGGATTTCCAGTGTAAAATTGAAAGACAAATTATAATAATATTATAATTATAATTTTAAAAGCAAATTTTCTCGCAAATTTCTACGATTAGAATTTCTGAATATTTTTATCTCTTGTAGAATAGATGAGTGTATTCGTGCACGGTTCGCGCATAAAATCGCGTTTTCAATTAAATTGTCTCGAGGAAAGGGGTTAAGGAGGGTAAAACCAATTTCCAAACTTCGATTTCCAAATAGGTAAGTTGGAAACAATTCGAACGAATAATTTTCCTCCTCTCAGAAACTCGTCAATTTTTCATTGATATATTTTCCATCCTCCTTAACTCTTTAAACTGAACTCTCGAGGAGGTGGTTTCGCTCTTTTTAAATTTTAAGTTCTTAAAAAAAAATCGCACTAAAAAAAAAAATATAAATTACTTTTCGAACTTGTGCGCAAAATTTCATTCGAATCGAGATCGTTTTATTTCATTGAAACAACGAAGATTGAAATTATTACTAAGATTTCATTCGTGCGATCTGTTTAATTGCTTCTTTAATTCATAATGAACAAAGATGCAAAATATATTTTCTATTAACATAGTAATATGGTTCGATCAACTGATTATTCATTTTAGTTAAACTCGAATATTATTAAAATTTCATTCACTTAGAGAAGCAAGCGTATAAATAAGAAAATTCTTTTCTTCTCGATTCGACTGATTCAACGAATTTACGTTCACGAAATATATAAGCGATATATATTTTTATCAAGATATCGATTTTCCATTCAATCTCCCGTCAAATTAAATATTAATTCAATTATTTCTGCTAATTAGCGTATATTTCACTTAAAATTTACATATTCGAATGTACAAGGATCGATTTGCCATTTATTCTCTTTTTCTATTGCCATAGAAGTTTCTAACTATAATTCGAGATACTGATTCGACTATTTTCGCTATTTGAAGTATTTCTCTTTCTTCAACCAAAATAAAGAAACTAAAAACACGCATCCCAATGACTGACACACCAAAAATAATTATATCCTCGCCACCATAGTTCCAAGTTACGACCATCAATCTTTCACGCAAACCAAATTTAACTGCTTCCATTAATGAACGAAACATATTTCATTTTTTCATTGTTTTCTTTACCAAATACGAAATCAAAATAATATCTCGAAAAATTATCCTCGACATTGTACACCATAATTGCAAGTTAGTCACGAATAAGATATCAATCTTTCACGCGATCGAATTCAACTACTTCCATTAATTATACTTGGAATATTTTAAAATATTTCATTTGCTTTTTTTTACAAAATGCACGAATTACGTTATCCTCCGTCACTGTACACATTGCATAATTCCAATTTACTCGTAGTTAAGTCATCTTTCTATAAAATTCAACTACTTTCGCTAATTAATACCTAAAGTATCTCAATATTTCATTTTTTTTCT